TAAAACTGAATTGAACTGAATTAATGGTCTTTGATGGTCTTTGAGGAGGACCAGCTCTCCACTCTTTCATGTGGCCTTCAGGATCTGATTCTATGGAAGCTGATTGCTTGGGTATAATCAGAAACCTTTTATTATCTCATTAAAAGGTCTCTCAGGATACAGTTTTACCACATTGGCAGGAATGGGCTTCCATAGTTTGCCCCCTCTCTCACCCCTGAACATCTGCCCCTGATGGCAGACAGAACAGCTGTGACCTCTGACCTCAAGCAGCTCTAAAGCTGCGCAGTCGCCTTATTAAAGACAGACTGTATTTATTATATTGATTAAAGAGGATGGGGGGTTCAGTGGCAGAGGAGAGGCAGACTCTCTCCTGCGTAAAGTTCCGCACTGAGACACAAAATGGTTCCTGATCGGACCGACTGTTCCCGGTTCCTCAGACAGCAGCAGCGGGACACACTGAGGCTTCAGGCCGACAGCTGAGGAGCATAAACCGGCTCAGTGTGCGCAGCCTCCCGGCGCACATCTCCATCTACCAGCGCGCAATAATTGAAATGGCGCGTTTGTCCTCAGGCTGCTGGGGGGGGGGGCATAATGCATGACGATAGACGTCATTTGGCTCCAGAGCCAGAGGGATGGTTGCTCAAATATATCAGCTGTCGGAGAGGAAGACGTGGATGTGCAGCGCGGACAGGACCAGCTCCACACTGAGACCCTGAACCTGATATTGAAGCGCAGGATCCGGACCCCGGTTCACACAGACCAGTTAGGACGCGTTATTGTAACCTAATCCTGGCCCCTGGGGGTCTGAAGGGCCCCAGGCAAGACTTCTCTTTCAGCCCTCCTCTTTTATTCTTTCGGAGGATCTTTGTGCTCCACACACGCACCGGAGGACGGAGAGGAAGCCCGGCCAGGACGTCAGTGAAGACCAACCGGTATCCTCACATTTCCAACCCCGGGACGGAGCAGACAGCCGCCGGTCTCCATGTCGTCTGTGTCGGTGTCCTCTCAGGTAAGGACGCGTTGCTTTAACCGAACAGTCTCATGGGAGGTTTAGACGCAGAGTTTTTAAGTTTATGTTGTAAAATCCAGAAATGGTGATTAAATGTCTCTGAGTTTCGACTAGCCCCGATACGCGCTGCTCCTAAAGTCTGACCAAATTCCGTTTAAAATCTGGCCGTTTTAAGTTCTGCTGAGTTTGGACAGTCGCAGGTATCAGCGGTACAACAGTGGTTTATCTGTCCGGTAACCGACTCACTCACTTATTAATTCGGCTGAAACCAAATGATCCAAATCAGAGAGAATTTCTACAAAACGTAAACTCTCCCTGTTAGCCCGCCGGTTCTTGCTGCCATCTTGTACCGTCCGATGCGCCGTGAAGGGCGGCAGTAACTCTGTGCTAAAAGTAAAGATTATCGAAACTAAGTTCCAGTTTATGGACAGTTCACAGGCCGAATTTACCAGAAGGCTTCACACTAAAGAGAAAACCTCTTCCATCAGGATCAGGCGACACTCAATGGCTGCCGAAGTGTGAGTGCGCATTAAATGTTCAGATTTTTTAATGGAGTCTGGCGTGTGGCGTTGTTTCCACATAAGCGAGAGCTGCTCCATACACCCACAATATGAGAGCCTTCATACATGTCTGTTCACATGATTGAATTTATAGGTCAGAGTTTGATTTGGAATAAAAAAGCTTTTAATGAGATTTCTTCCTGAAACTCTGAGAGAAGAAGTGATGTGACTTTGGTTTTAAGCCTGTAGTGGATCAGCAGTGTGATTATAATGTGTGCCTTTATAGAGCAGCAGTCATCAGAGACCTGCAGACAGCAGTGGAGGAGTTACTGCAGACAGAGAGGCAGCAGTGTTTGTCAGTTTGGCTCGGGGCAGAGTGCCGGCCTCGGGGCAGAGACACTGAAAGCTGCAGCCTGCCTCCTGTTCACCTTTCATGCTTCAAAGCTCTTCTTTACAACCGAGAGAGGGAGGGTCAATTAATCCCAGCAGCCCCCCGGGTCATCACCATCCTCTATTTCATCAGTGAGCCCCCTATTATTTATTATTCGCAACAATGTAAATTACTCTAATATCCTGCATTCAGTCCTACTGCAGTAACCAGCAGCATGAACTGTAAACTCCCCCGCTATGGGTCGCAGCCATGTAGTGGACTGTAGTGGACTGTCTCCGGGCCTCTTGCATAGTGGAACAAGGTCACCTGAGACAGCGGTTCCTCTGAAGCGGGAGCTTGCGTGGCGTCCCGTCCAGGAGAATCGCTGAAAACCCTGAATGTGGTTCCAAAGAGGAGCCACCAAACTCAGCCTCACATGTTCCACCTGAACCCTTCAGAACAGAAGCTGGACGAGAGTGAAAGGAGGGCGACGTAGATCAGACCCTGCAGCCCGCCCCGGGGCAGATTGTTGGTTTCAGGGAGTCGACATTGTGCCGTACACGAGGACTGGTGTCAGATAATGTAATTCACTGTGACTGATTTGCAGCTGGCCTGGCTAACATTAGCTTGTTTGCGAGCTAGTTAGTAGCATGGAGCTAACGGTCCAAATATATAGGAACATTGCAGATAGTAACGGTTATTCTTAATATGATTGTCAGTTTGTTTATAATTTAATTTATAGGAGTTTGGAACTGCTCTATTGTAACTTCTGTTTGTTGTTTGAATTGGCGCTATACAAATAATTCAATTTAATTTAATTAAATTTTACAGCGTTCAGTGTTTGTCACCGTTGGCCGACGCCCAGGATGATACTGTGACTATGGCTGTGTACTATATAAAGAGGCCAGTTTCTAAGGCCTCCAGAGCCAGTGCAGTGGTGTCTCTCCTGGAGTCCAAAAACCAGGATCCATGTTGGTTTTGTTTTTTAGGAAAGTTCCAGCAGCATTGCTCTTCTGAGAGCGTATAGATACTGGACCTTCTTACAGCTGCTGAAGGTCCAGGAGAACAAGTGAGGACCTGAATGTTTTAGATACAGTGCCCCTGCTTGAAGGGTATCGGGAAGGCATCCTTCAGGTTGACGGTGGCGAACCCTTCCTCACCCTGTTAACCGAACATCAGTATACCTCCGTGATCATTCCCCATAAATGTGGAATAATCACGGAGAGATAGGATAAAGGACCAGGACCAGGTCTTGATCAGTTGATCAGTTGAGGACCCTCTGCTGAATCTGACTCAATGAAACAGAGCCGATGAAGGCCAATTAGGACGCTGACAGCAGAGTGGATCAGATCAGCCTGCAGACCAACTTCAAACAGGGGAGAGTTCAGACCACCAGCTCTGCACAGAACAGCGGGGGCTCCTGGGATATGAAGTTAAAACAGAGACTGCAGCAGAGCCCAGAGGGCACTCTGACCTCGTATCAATCCTCAGTTCAGGTTCAACTCGGGAGACGTTTGAATGATCAGCTTTTATCTGATTGGTTCTGAGACAGAACTCTGCTTTGAACTGTGAGATTTCTGTACGCTGTTATTCTCTTCCCTCCATCACAAATATTACCTCTAACGTAAGACGGCCCTCTGTATTACATTTAACTCAATAATGGACTAAATTAATGATCTTTATATTAATGGAACGCTTCCCGATTTTGAATCACTGCTCCATAAAACAAATCGGCCTCAAACTTTAGATTTCTATTAATTCACAACTATATTAGATTGATTCTTTCCGACTAACACCATACGCATACGTCAGGTGGAACCTGACTGTGTTGGCTGTGTTTGGGGTAGTGGGAAAGACCAGCCCTCTAATAGTACCTCTTTTCCACCAAAGCAGTTTGAAAGCCGGTTTAGAGCCGGGACCAACCAGTTCTTCAGCCAAAGAACCGGAACAGGAAAACTGGTTCCTGGACGGCACTGAAACTGTGCTGGTCAAGTCGAGATGTTCCGATACCAGTTTTTCCTTCCCGATACCTGAACTTCTCGTCCGGTGCCGAGTAACAATCCAATACTTTGCGTTAAAAAAACAGATAGGTACGATTGAGATCTTTCTATAAACCCTTAATCGACTGCGTGGAGGCTCAGCAATAGATATCCTCTTTACTACAACAGCTAGAATATTCTGTAGCTGTACAGCAGCTTTGTAGGTTGGTTGATGTTTCTACTGTTTACCATCCTGTGTTATATAATCCTTATAAAGCTCCTGTCAAAGTTCTGACCTGTTGTTACCTGTCGTCACAGGAGGGGCGGAGCATGTCCAGGATGTCTCTGAGCCGCTCACCTGTGTCCCCCATGACCACCCAGGGCATCCCATCTCCTGCCCAGCTCACCAAGGCCAACGCCCCCGTACACATCGACGTGGGGGGGCACATGTACACCAGCAGCCTGGCAACGCTCACCAAATACCCCGAGTCCAGGTAAGACCACTGCCAGGATGGAGGTTAAGATAAGATAAGATAAGATTCTTTAATAGTCCCAACAATGGGGAATTCCAAATACAGCAGCAAAGGTTGAGAAAAAAAGAGAAAAAAAGAGTATAAAGACAGTATAAGAACAGTATGAAAAAATATATATATAATATAATATAAACACTGTACAAGAGAGAAAGGTAGGTACTAGAGTATAAGTATAAAGTGACCTCAGATCTGTGTTCAATATAAGAATAAAGAGAGTCAGAGAGGAAGTGATGAGGAGGCTGGCAGCGACAAACTGTTGGAGGAGGTTGAGTTTCTTGTGAGTTCGACCAATCATAGCTGTCCCCGATATTTCATTTAGAAAATCTGCAGTAAGATTTTCGGACACAACAATCCCCAAAAAAAGGAAATCCTGGAGGCACTGATTAGTAATTTACTACAGTTACAGTTTATAGTAGAAACTGAAGCCCACATTGAGGATCTAATATCCACTGGTATGTTTTCATTAGTGTTTAATCAACTGCTTAAACCTTAGAATGAGACTTTTATCTACAGAGGGAGTGAGTCCTCTTCTGGTGGAGTTCGCCATGTTGAACCCCCATGTTTCTACAGTAGCCCAGAAAGGACAAACCAAACACTGTAGTTTTCCTACACACTGCTCCTTTAATGTTTCCTTAGCAGAAAATCAATATTTTCTCTTTTTTAAAGGATAATTCTGGACTTATTCTATATTTTCACAGACCTATGGGGGACGCCATGGAGACTACAGACTGTTAATTTTAGAGTTTGTGGTTCAGACCAACAAGATGTCTCTATACTGTCATGACTTTACTTATATATAGTATAATGTTTAAAAAGGTTCAGTAATTTACTAAAACGTGTTGGGGACTATTTTCAGTCCCCAACAATCCACATTTGGTGCTGTAATGAGTGTTTGGGTGTATAAATAAACTGTATTCCTGTTGTCTTTCTCACTGTTGGCGGTCTGTGTCTCTGCAGGATCAGTCGTCTGTTTAACGGCACCGAGCCCATCGTGTTGGACAGTCTGAAGCAGCACTACTTCATCGACAGAGACGGAGACATCTTTCGCTACATCCTCAGCTTCCTGCGGACCTGCAAGCTGCTTCTGCCGGAAGACTTCAAGGTAACTGAAAAACCAAAGATTAACACGCTGACCTGACCTAACCCTAACCTGCACAACACAACCAGCGGGAGGCAGAGGTCTTAAACTCCTACAAGGAACTTTCAGTCTGTGTTGATTCTGGTGACCCCTGTGGACAACAGCGGTAGTGTTTTTGTCACCTCATTGATATCAAGGGGAATCCGACACAGTGGCAGACATTAATAACTATATAGAAATATTCAATCTTCCCTCATATAAAATAATAATAATGTCATCAATCAGGATATAAAAACATAAATAATAAAAAATATATTAGTTAAAACAAATAGATTTAAAGTTTTCATATGTGAGTAGGATGTGACGTTTATGCTCCCGAGTGCCTTCTCTCTCCGCTTCTCTACAGTGTCAACACTAGCTACGTTAGCTACCGTGTTTGTCACTGTTGGCCGATGCCCAGGATGATGCAACAGGACGCTGACTGCAGTTCACTGAGCGGCCACTGGTGGCGCTGTTAGCTACAGTTTAATGTTACATAGAGAAGCTTTAAAAAAACAACAGATATAAGTTTGATATTAAATATTGAGCGTGTTTCTCTGACGCTGAGCTCAGATATGTAAAGATTGAACCTCGAGGTGAAACAAATGATTTCGTCTCTTAGTTAAGAAACTGCAGCGAGTCTTTGAACTCTCAGATTCTGACACTTTAATCAGCGCCGGCGGCTGCATCCACTGACGAGTGTGTGTTTTACTAAATGTGTGTGTGTGTGGTGGGGGGGGAGTCAGCGGGCATATTGCATCTCTCTCATCTCCCTCCCTGTAGTTAGCGAGCGCTGCCTCTGTTATTCTGCTCAGGATGACTAAAACGCCCTGCAGACACAACCCCTCTTTATAAAACACATCTATCCCTCGCTCGCAGCCTGAGATGGGGGTGAGGAGGAGGAGGATGGAGGAGGGGGGAGTGAAGGAGGCGAGGCTTTGATACAGTGTGATGCCTCAGGCTAACAGCAGCTCTCTGTCAGCAGCAGTGGGGAGTAAAAAAAACCCACAATTCTTTTCTTTCTGTGTGACCGGCGGAGGAAGAAGCACTCAGATCCTCCAGAAAGAGACGGAATAATAAGTCCTGCAGCTCAGTTTATATCAGCAACAGTAAAGAAGGACTGATAGAGAGAAGAAGAGGTCAGTTCAGTTGTTTTTATGCTTTCAGATCATATAAAGAGGGAAAGAAAAGGACAAAATCTCCTCATTTAAAGAGTCAGTCATTAGTTGTGGGGTTCCTCAGGGTTCTGTTCTCGATCCTTTATAGTTTTAGTTAAAGCTGCTTTAAATCTAACAGTTTCATCTTATTGTGGCAGCCTTCTTAGCTTACTTCCACATCCAGCAGTTACGGAGCAACTACATAATTTATTAGTTTTTTTGTGCCGTCTGATGAGTCTTTTAAGACGCTGAAATAACGACATCATGATGGAGATTTATGAAAAGTCTGAATTCAGATTATGTCGGTCTGCGAGATGAGGGGGTAACAACTTTTAAAATGCCTGTTATGGTCCGACAGACCAATGTACGAGCCGACGTGAGACTGAATATTTTACTGCTTTCATATTGATTTGTTTGTTTCACACCAACTGAAGTTCTTACTTTGCAATAAAGTAGTGGATAAAAACCTCAGTTAGTTCTGAGAGAAAGCTCAGCAGAAAGCCAGTAAGTGGACCTTGAGTTCGGATAAACATTCACGTTTTTACAGAATTTCACTAAACTGCGTTTTTCTCTTTCGTTCTCAATCTGAAACCATAAAAACAGCTGAACAGATCTTCTCTTCTTTACCGCCAGCCACAGAAGTTTTGCTTGTTGTCGTCATGGTTACAGTCTCTAACCTGCCCTCTCTCTGGTCCCGTCAGGACTTCCCCCAGCTGTACGAGGAGGCTCGGTACTACCAGCTGACCCCGATGGTCCGGGAGCTGGATCGCTGGCAGGCGGAGCAGGAGTCCCAGCGGGCGCCACCATGCGAGTGTCTGGTGGTTCGGGTCACGCCCGACCTGGGCGAGAGGATCGCGCTGAGCGGGGAGAAAGTCCTGATTGAAGAGATCTTCCCCGAGACCGGAGACGTCATGTGTAACTCCGTCAACGCCGGCTGGAACCAGGACCCGACCCACGTGATCCGCTTCCCCCTCAACGGATATTGCAGGCTCAACTCTGTGCAGGTGAGACCTGTTCACCCAGCGACTGAACTTATTGATCCATTGATTTGACTTCCCAATCGTCCCACAGACCAACCTCAGGATTTATTGATAACGTATCAGTGATTTTTGTTGGTCCTGCACATTAAACACCTGTCTGCCTCTCTGTCTCTCTGTCTGTCTGCAGGTCCTGGAGCGTCTGTTTCAGAAGGGTTTCACCGTTAAGGCGTCCTGCGGCGGTGGAGTCGACTCGTCCCAGTTCAGTGAGTACGTCCTGTGTCGTGACCTGCGGCACAGCCAGTCCATCACCAGCACCCCGATCCGGATCAAACAGGAACCTCTGGACTGAACAGCACCATCAGAAAACCACCTGAAGACTTGAAACCTTTCCAGGAAATATCTCTTTAAGAGACCTTTGACCTCTGCAGATGTCAACCTTCTGTGGGAAGAACCAGAACTGTAAATAATATTTGTAATAAGAATCAGTTTGATATGAACAGCTTGATCAATATCGTCCTCTGTATGTACAAATAAACAGGTCTTTTTATAAGTGTGTACGGAAGCCACGGGGCGCATAATTTAATTCTTTTTATAAAACTGACATTTTGAAAAAATGTATATTTAATGTATTTGTTAGCTTACTTTGTGTCTATTTTTCATTTGTACAGATGTATTGATAAAAAGAGAAAAAGGTCTCTGATGTCTCATTTTTAAATATTCTTTATGTAACTTTAATTAAACCGTTTACAAATCAACCCATCAGACAACACCAGCTTAGCTTAGCAACAGTTAGCTAGCTGGATGCCTCT